TAAATATATATGATATATTATTATATAAATAATATATTTAATATATTGTTATATAAAAAGTTATATAATTTTTTTTCGAGCCATTTCGAGCCGTACACGAGCGAACAAACTGTTGTTTGTGTTCGACTCGTTTACATTTCGAGCTTAAAAATTTGTTCGTGTTCGGCTCGTTAGGCTTAACGAACGAGCCGAACACGAGCTGCTTAACGAGCCGAACACGAGCTGTTCACGAACAACGAGCCAAATTGACAGCCCTATTCGGCGGAGTCATACTTTGTGCATTGTTAATCTTCATTGGGGTAAGAAAGCAGTAGGATGCAGATGAATCTTTAGCATCAAGTTTAAATCAGATGGATCCTTTGAGCGCCATAAGGCGCTGTTGGTTGCCAAAGGATGCTCACAGACCTACGAAGTTGACAGTGAGAAGAAACTTGCTTCAGTTGCTAAATTAAACACCATTCGGGTCCTCTTATTCCTTGTAGTAAATATGGATTGACCCTTATTCCAACTTGATGTCAATAATGCGTTCCTGAATGTCGATCTTATAGAGGAGGTATGCATGGCTCTTCTTCCAGGCTTTGACTCTTCTACCTCCTAGGGCAAGCATGTAGACTGCAAAAATCCCTCTATGGATTGAAGCAATCGCCATGGGCATGGTTTGAAAAATTCATAAAGGTGGTGTGTCGGCACTACTTTTGGAGTGGGGTTTGCCCGTAAGAAGCTGTATAGACCATGGATTCAATCAGGCTCAATCGGACTACACTCTCTTCATCCGACATTTGATGGAAATTATGACTACCCCTCATCCGACCGACCGTTAGATGGAATTCATTAGAGGAGAAGTTGGGGCAACAAGGAAAAGTCCGTGCGTGACCTATACTAGGTTTTTTCTTTGTTTTGAGGACTCTAAAAGTATTCCTCATGATCATCTCTACACTAAACGGAAATTACCTTCCATGGTCTCCACCTAAGATTTATTCTCAGCATGAATTTTAGATTGCAAGAGAGAGGGAGGGTTTCCTAATGTAGGTTTGGTTATAGGTCCAGTTGATTGATCTTTTAACATCACTTGCTCTACCAACCGTCTTCGCCTCTTTCTTTTGACCTGTTTGTTCTCTTTTGTTAAGGCCTTTACCCTTCTACTGAGGGGAAGAATTGAGGTGCTTTCTTTGAAGGAAGGCTTATAGTTATAGC